CAGTGAGAAAAAAATAAACGGATCGGGACTTGCTCATCTAAACACACAGCGTACGTCAGAGGAACAAACCTGAGTAACTGCCACCCATAATTTATAAAGCAAATTAAATCCATGGCAAAAATAACCATAACTTAGAAGATAGTGATAGTAGAATCTGGCAGAAAAAGGCCCCAGCCTGCATGAATCATTATTTTCTAGAGGAAACCTTATATAATCCAAGCCACTCTGTTTTAAAACAAATTAAACCTTCCGAAAAGTCAAATTAATAGGTTTGGCAAAGCTCTGTCTTTAATTCAGGTACTTTGGTGATTTCCTAAGATAAAAAAAAGCTACCTGGTACTGGCTAACTTTACAGTAGTCTACACCCTGCTTTTGGCAGCTCCAAAAGCCTCCATCAGAAGGCAAAGGGGAGACGAGAGCATCTACCTGGGGTGGGAGGAAGGCGATTAGATTGCAATGCCATCTTGTGGAATAGGAGAAAATGAAAGACGGAAAAAAAAAAAACTTGCTCAGCCACCACTTTGCAGTTGTATATGATTTTACAGGACAGAGCTATTGGCCTAGCACGGTGTATTTGGTGGCTGCTTCTCATTTTCCTCGTTTATCTGGAAGGTTAGAGGAAGGCATGCAGTGATAACTGCAGAGACGAGGTCTACTTCCCTCACGTGGCTTGGAAGGGGACGGACACGCCTGTCAAAAGTGAGTTTGCTCTTTTTTTGCTTGTTTTTAGCCTTTACTATGAGAAAGTCACGACGATCTTCTATGCTGCTGCCCCAGGAAACCAGCCTTTCTCCTCGGCTACAGGAGAGCCACGAAAAAGCGTGACCTGGGTAGGATCAGGAGCAGGACCACACCAATCCCCCAGCTCCCCCCAGTCCATGGTATAGTTTAGCAGGACCTGAAGAACATTTCTGATGCCATGCATCACAAGCTTGCCTGCAATCGCCTCTGCATACGTCGCATCTGCTCCTTACGCTCCCAGCCATGTCCTGTGTTACTGAAATCCCGGTATATCGCTCTTACCACAAAAAAAGTCTGGTTCAACCATTCTCTCTGCAGGGAGCTGCCTACTTATAAGTCATTAGGTAAAAGAAGAAATAAGTTTACAAAAGTTAAGGATGGGGAAAATCTACCAAAAAGCACCAAGATGTAGCTGTGGACAACGACAGAATTTCTTCTCTCTATGATGAGGCCAACTGCAACCCCATTGGGTTTGGGAGAAAGAACCACAGACTCCTTGCAGACTCCTGACTAACACTGCATGCGCAAGCCTGATGATGAACAGAAATAAACTCGCAGGTTCATACTGCATAGTGGGTGTTTTGGGACCCCCACAAAAGCTGCACCCACTCGAGATGGGTGACCCGAGGCAATGGGCCAGCCCGTGCTCGAGCTGCCAAAGCCCGGGGACTGCAAGCAGACGGCCAGGTTTGGTGCTGGCAGGCTGTGCTCAGGACGGGTGCTGAGGACACCAAGGGATGAGCAGATGCTGGAGCCCGCTCAGGGCAAGAGAGGTTTAAAAACCACACAGGAGCTGCGCAGTGAACGCAAACAACAGAGTTGCTGAGAGTCTGACAGCAATGCAGCAGCTCTCTTTCCAGGGCACGCATTTTCCCTTAAACAATTTATTTTTTGTTTTCCCAAAATTGGAAATTTTGAAAATTTTTGGAAAATGTGGAAATCTTTTCCAATTGGAACGGATGGGATCACAGTTAGACTATCTCCACCCAGGAAAACCAAAACCACTGAAGGAATCAGTCATGAAGGTACTGCAGCCGTATCATCAGGTGGTTCCAGCTCAAGGTTTGGAGCAAATTTGTTTTCCTCCCCCCAGCATCTCAACCTGATTTATACTTTCATTTCTTTGTTTATTTTTAAATTAGGTTCTTAAGAGGGCATTCTGAGGGTTAACATCTCTAGTTAAACGTTAGGGAGAAATGGTTACTGAGGGTTACTATGCACAAAAAACCCACTAAAGGTATGGAAACTGGGAAAGGGTAGGGACAAAAAATCCCAAGAGAACCAGTGGTAAAACGGAAAAGTCAGGGCTGTGCATGCAGGCATTCCCACAGCAAATTTGGTAAAGAGAGCCTAACATTTGGTTATTGATTTGCGTGTACATTTTGGTGAAAGCTCAGTGCAAATTCTGGAAATCTAAGAAATATCTATGTCCTAACATCCCTCCTAAACGCCCTGCATATGCTGAAAAGAAATAAAACAACGCCAAGCAGCATGCAAATATTTGCCCGCAAATGGCTGATGATTTTCAACAATAATTTCATAAATGCAGCAGATTTAAGTATATCCCACGATTATTCTTCTGCTGGGAGTTCCCACTGACACCAGTGTGGGGCTGCCCAGGGCCACCAAGGGAGACGGGCTCCGGCCGGGGCAGCTTTCGCTGGGCAAGAAGCAAGGGGTGGGATTGTTAGCAGCTCTTGAGTCAGCAGAGAAACAACATTGCAAATAAGCTGCAAATAAAACCACCCACCCGAAACAACCTGAAAGTTTCTGCCAGGACTGAGCACGGCCAGAGGTGCAGACACTGCTCTCTCCGACGCTCCTGTGCCCAGCGATGCCTGCGCTCAGCAGGTAGCACCGAGGGAAGGTTGGCTGTGGCATAAATCACACCAGTGGCTGGAAACAAGCACCAAGGCTTGAAACGATGTTTGCATGAGAACAAGACGTTGAAATATTGATTAAAGTTGGATTTCATCAGCAATACTTTGATTTTATTGTTATACTGGCTGCTAACAAAGACACACCCATTAATGCGTTACATTCTTGCTCGTAAAAGGGTGATTATTCCACTATTCACGCCAGGCTACTCTGCTGGTATCCACAGCCAGTCGTTCCAGTACAGGCACTCACCAGAAAAATAAAAATAAAAAACCATTATGATTTCAAAAATGAGGCAAAAACATGGAAACAGGCACATGCTGGAATATTGCAGAGATGGGGTCCAAGCACTCATCTGCATCCCAGGCAAGGGAGAAGCCTGAGCAATTCACTCCAGTTTAAATCCAAAGTAACAGGGCAGAAAACAAAGAGTTACAAAGATTTTATCAATTTAAATGAAATGTTGGAGGGATGAAAAAAAGTACTTTGAAAAAATTACCTAGCAGGTGCCAGTGTTCCCACTGCTTGGCTTTGTTCAAGGAATAATTGTACGTACACGGAGGGTTTTTCTGGTCTTAATACGCTAGTTAATTTTCAGCGCCAGGGATAGGGGTGGAAAAGGGATGGGAAGAATGCCATTAAAGGCTGCGTCTTCCAGCGTTATTGTTCTAAAACTCAGGCTCAGGCAGGGCAGAGCAGCTATCTGAGGCAATACCGTGTTTACATATGCCCAAATTGTTATGCAAACACAGGAAGACCCATTGGAGCAGAGGGAATGGCACTGAGAGGCAGCGCTTCCCACCACCCCTTGCAGAAAAATGTTTGTCAATGTGGAAAGGGTGAGAGAGGTCACCCCCAAGGAATCCAGCCCTGGATCCTCCCAGCCTTCGCCTCTCCCATCCTCCTCCTCCTCCTCTCAAATTCCCCAGCACAGCCAGCATGGGCTTCCAGTTAAAGAGACAGGCTCATGCTCCAGCAACCTTGTCTGGGGGCTGCGTTTGCTTGAGGAGCCTAAAAAGGGGGAGAAATACATAAGGAGGGAGAAGCTGTCCTGTATGAAGGGGGATTCATGCCTGCCCTGCGCAGGCATTTCGCATCATCCTTCCCCATACTAGTGCAGAAAATTAAACCACAGAAATTAAGGGGAGACTCCAAAGGCACACAGGGGTACTTGGCACCATTCAAATGCAATTATTTTGAGATTAAATCGATCCTGCATCGACATGAAAGATCTAAAATAGTCAGGCATGAACTCTGCAGTCATGCCTTTAGTTCTATCTGTAGCTGGTACGAGAGAAATTGGAGACAAACACCTCTGACAAGACAACTCTAACGTCCAGGAGAGGCCACAGATTTCCATCAACCTATATCAACCAAGCTTTCAAAAAGTTATCACTGATGAAATATATCTTCAGTGCTTGAAAAATGTCTCACTGCCAGTCTGAGCTCGGTCACTTTGCTGTTAGATCACCACTATACAGAATAAAAGCTCCCCACCAGCCAGAAACCTTTTCTCCACCCAGATGTGTGACCAAGTCAGCTCTCAACTTTCTCTATACTAAATTACATAAGCCAAATTTCATTAACTTCTGGCTATAAGTCAAATTTTTACAGAGCAGAAATTATTCTTGTTAGCACTTTGAGTCCTCTGGAGCGCCAAAAACGAATCACAGACACCAGAAGTGGGGATGCTATTTCCAGAAGCACCTCGCTACTACCACCTCCCCAGGGACAGCCCCCCCACGTCGCTCACCCTCAAGGTACAGATGTTTTCTGCTGTCACCCACAGCATCCTCCCATGGTCATTGCTATCAAATCCCTAGCTCTTCATCCTGCAGAGGAGACCTGCATTCTCTCCCTTGAGATGTATAACCTCGCTTTGGCTACACAGAAAGGGAGTCCAAATGAGCTTTACCAGCTTGCACGTAGCTTGAGGAGTCACCAGCAAGGATTTTGTGTCTGGCAGAGTGTGAATGCCACTTTGGTTGAGACCACATTCCTGCAGGACACCACCAGAAATGTCCCTGTGGCATCAATCCCTGCTGTGAGCAGTTTGTGAGAGCTGGTAGCTAGCAAGTTTTTTTTAAACCTAATTAACAGTACCACACTCATTTCATACAGTTCTACAATTTCCACTCAGAATATTGCACAATGCTAGAGTCAAATGGCTTAAGGTAGTTAACTGTATCAACACACGGCATGCTCAGTGAGTCAAACCTGCAACAGCAGCTCAGGTGGCGTTTCAGTTTGGAGAGATGGGGGTTTTTAACTTTTAAAATTAGCTGCCCTTGGGGGGAGCACACTGCACACAGCTCTGAGTGCCAGGCTGGTTCCTCATCATTTAGTAACAGGGCAGGGTATGTGCTCAAGCCATTTCCTACCACAGGATGTTGACTTCTTATCCACCATCTTCACATGCCGCGTCTGGTTGCGAAGCTTGTCGTCTGTGTTTTCAACCAGGTTAGTGAGGTCGTCTATGATCTCTGGGGAAAGAAACACACAAGCATTAATCTCTGAGCCCCGCAGCATCACTGCTCAACAAGCATGTTCCTGCTAGAAGCTCCCAAATGGAAACCAGCTGGATTCTTCTGCCTTCCAGCATGATGGACCAGTGCTTCGTGTGCACTGAAAGGTCCAAATCCTGGGAAATATTACACAATTTGACTTCCAATTTGGTGCATGTCTCTGCTGCAAGAGTGGAGGATAAAAGCACAGTCTGAAACTGCAGGATCAGTCTAGGTAGCCACAGAGTATAAAATGATGGCCACCACAAAACACTAGCCAAAGTAAGAGAATGAGTGCACATGCTATAGGAGATCTGAAATTTCAGTCCTTGGAACAGCATCTCAACCCTCGGCTGTTACACAGTCATTAAACCACATTCAGAATCACTAGCCTCATAAATGCTTTTGAGAGCATTCGGCGCAGGCCCAACCAAGCAACCATGGAGGATACAGTCAAAGTCCCGCCTTGGTTCAATTCCTGCGGTGTATGGACAGCAGTTCTGCCTGCAGCTCAAATGATCCTCTGGGAAAAGGAAAAGTGAGCAAAATTTCTTTTAAATCTATTTTTAATAGAGGGGAAAGGAAAATTTCAAGCCCACACATCCTCAACCTCATGCTACCGATTACTTAAATTCTGTCAGGGAAATCAGACCAAGTACAAGGCTTACACCAAGAGTGGTTGTTGGGTTGGGTTTTTTTAATGCTGAAAATGAAAAGCCACATTCAGGCACCAGATTTCCTTCTTGCTGCCTGTTACGCTCTAATTTTCTTGAAATACGTAGCCAGTGCTTCTTGCTGGGTGTATGAATACTCTGCATTTGAGTTGATTTCTACTCTGCAGGTAGGAACAGCTTTTTTTTTTGTGCATGATAAATCAGGAGGAGGACAGCAGCCAAAAGCTGAATGCTATCACAAAGTATCTTTGCTCTGGTTACACTTCTAGCACTTCCCTCGCTATTGATCACTGTCTTAATAAATCTCGTCTGCCTTTTGAGATCAGGTCAGGGAGAGCAGCCGTGCCAGTCCTTTGTACCCAAGCAGATCCTAGCACCGCGTCTCTCCCCTGCAGCACTGCTGAAACGTCCGGGTTTAACAGACTGTAAGCAAAAGTTAGAGTGCATAGTTAGCGAGAGATACTGATATCCTGTTCATTTTTATGCATCATAACCCTGGATGCAGGCTGGCTGTGGGTTAAGGAAAACAAATGCCATCAACAGGACAGGGCCCTTATTAGTTAGCCTGTATCATTTTCACTGTATTCCTTCAAATAAGCAATTTCCCAAATATCTCTCCTAGGAAAAGGGATGACGTGGAAGAGGGCATTCCTAGTACTTCCAAAACTCCCCTGGGACACGAGAATAAAACTTTGCGCTTGCAAGGCAAGTGCCAGTATGTGACGTTAGCTCTTGCAGCTTCTCAAGAACATCTGTACACCTCTGTCGGCCAGCACTTTTACACCAGCCCTTGAAAGGGAATGGTTTCCTCCACAATTCACCTTCCTGCAGCAAAAGGTGTTGGCAGCTATGTCCTCAAATCTCACCAAGTAGTAGGCATTGCTCTAGATCTGGAGATAAAACCAGTTAGATTGTACATATGGATGACAGAAAACAAATAAAAAAATAATCAGAGTTCTGAAGACGCAAAGGGAGTTTTCAAAGGCATTCGTAGCACAGGGGTTTTACTCTCCCAGAGAGTTGGGAGATTTAAGTATCATCCTTCTAACACGTGCTTTTAAGTCTGCCCCACAAGCACTCCATCATCTCCGGCAAATCCCTACGTAAAAAGATACCAACATCTAAAAATTCTTGTACTTTGAAAATTCATATATTTTTTAAAACATGAGGTCCTGATTCATGTCCCGCAGCCTAAACCATCTAAGGACTCACACGAAGGGAGGACAGAGGGCAAACATCAACTGCTCCTGCATGCACAGCCTCAAGTCTATCATATAGATCTTAACCACTCCCGTGGTTAAGCAACATCACCCCACCAATACTGCTCTATTCCAGACACAAACTCTCCGAAGTTGTTTAAAATCAAGATTTAATTGTTCATCCTACCCCAAAACACATTTTCCCAAGCAATGGCAGGTACTTTATTTGAACTGCAAGATTTGTTCAGTTCATAGTTCAGATATTAATTCTCCTTCCCCTCCCACCCAACTTTCCCAGGTCCAACATCTGCAAAGCCAACAACATTTTGGAGAACCTTTATCTGTCTTGCGTGATTCAGCACACAGGAAAACCCGTACAATGCTGCCAGCAAAGGCAGGTTTTCTCATGTTTGCCTCTAAATGAAAAAAAAAAAAAGTGCTGCAAGTTCCCATCGTTGTCAAGGACAAAGTGATAAGCATGCTTGGGAAATCAGAGACTTTCCTTTGCCAACACTGACCAGACCCTCCTTGAAAAACATCCTGGTGAACAAGCTGCAGCTGAACAAGAACAAATGCGAGCAGGAAAATTTTCTGTCATCATTTCAAAGCCCAAGAAATCGCAATTGGGATCATATCTAGAGCCTCTCCTTTCCCACCCCCCTGCACAAGCCATTCTCCTGTCAGACCAACCAGCAGGAGCCATTTCTGAACCAGAGAACCGGACTGTACAGCTTGGGAGAAGTGTTCCTCTATGTCTGTATGTCTCTTGACACGGTCCCGTTTCAGGGGAGTGGCCAAGCATGCAGCCCAAAGCTCAGCAAGGAACCAGTCCTTTGATGTAACATGCAGGCAAGACCAGGAGAAGTGTAGGGGCGTGCATGGCACAACCACGAGGTCTGAGCAGGGTCCTTCCCTCCACTGCTGTGCTGGGGCTGCCGTGGGGAGAAAGCACCGGGAGGTTCTTACGCCATCACCAGCTGAATCCAAAGCCAGAGCCAGCAGGTCCCCCAGGCCAGGGTGCCTGTGCAACCACCAACATCCTGCAGAGGAACACCCACCCCTCCAGTCCCATCAACAGGCTGTTGAGGTGACACTCAGGTTCTGAGCAGCTCTTGACTTCATGTATATTAAAAAATTTCTCCCCACTCTAAAGCAAAGGAAACCATGGAAATCCATGCTGTGTAAGGCAGAAATTCATTACCAGTTCTCAACTCTAAGGTAGGCAGAGCTGCTGCCAAACTAACTCCACAGCTAAGCAAGTCTTTAGAGCACTGACAGTCCTACAGTAGCTCGCAGTAGGTTCCCGAGGACCACCTCTTCTGACTGATGACCCACCCGCAACCCCTTTTGCCCTTCAAGCTAGCAATTACATTCACGGTGAAAAATTTTCTACCACCTTCCATTTGCCTGACTACACAAAGAGCAAGTTAAAAAAAAAAAAAAAAACCCAGAGAGAAACCCAAAAGAGGGGAAGGAGCAAGGTTCCCCCATTGCAAGGGAGCAGACAGGAAAAGCTCATGCTGACTGCTGAAGGGCTGCCGGTGACCTTACAAAGGACGTTTCTGTAACACTGCACTGCAAACCACATTTAAACCGCTAATGCAAATTTAGCCAAGGTCTTCTTTCAGTGAAGCAGGATCTTGAAGCAGAAGATAAAACCCACTGCACAACCCTGGTATTAAAATCCGAGTAATTTAAGCCCAGCCAAAGTGGGAGAAGTTTGAAGGTTGCTCATCTGTTGGAGATGAGCTCAGACAGGACCTCCTATACCAGCAGGGACTTCTGCTTGAAAACCGGTGTCGCAGCCTTGCTTGTCCCTTTGCTGGGGTTGCAGCCAGCTGGGCAGGTACGCTGGCTTTGAGCTCACCAGCAGATGGGGCAGCCAAACACACCAAGCTCGAAAGCAGCAGCTTTCGGTAAGAAGGTGTGTGGGCATTACCAAGTCTCCTCACCTCATTCCTGCGAGGCTGCAGCAGCAAAACACAGACCCATCTCTACAAATCTGGATGCTTTTCCTGGTGATCAAAGCTATAACATTTCGGCTGGAGCCCTCAAAAGGGCAGGATTCCTTCAGAAGCCCAGTATATACCACACGGCAAAAATAGCAGTGAGCTTTACAGATTTGAGATTGATACGTGCATACCTTAAACCAGGACTAAAGTCATAGAAGGTCTCCAGTTTGTGGACACAAGCCCAGCTGCAGTCCTGCCCTTGCTCCTCTGGTTACGGGACCTGCAATGGAGAGGGCACGGGGAGCAGTTTTTGATCCCGTGTTTTGGAGCAATGCAGAGCAGCCAGGCTGCTGCTCCTGGGGAGAAGAGAGGTGTTTACTGGGGAAAGCATGAGCAAAGTGAGGACAAGTTCCTTCTGTTTATTTAAAAAAAAAAAACAAAACAACAAAAAACCCAAACAAACCACCAAATACATTTTGGGTTTGTTTAATATTCTGCATTAAACTTAAAACATATTTTTGCCCACAAAAACAGATACAAAAATCACTTAATGAGATCTGAACTTGTCACTGCATCAGCTATCACAGCCAGAAAATAAAAGCTTCTAAGCTGAACACAAAGCATTTAAAAAAAAATTTTGCTCATTGACTTGCTTCACTGGTCACAGCGAGCTGAAGCACTATCAGTGCCTACAGCCAACTTCTAAAGAATCAAGAATCCATTGATTGACCCAGATCAGCACAAGACTACTCAGAGATGCGAGCACATAAGTGTCAAATATTTCTTTTCAAAGTTTTAATGAAATGAAAAGTAAAGCAACTGGTCTGAACCCTGGATCCTGGCTCCTAAGCACCTTCCACTCCGCTCCATCATGCTTGGCTTCGCAATCTCAAATGATACATTAAAAGGTCAAGAAAGATGATCTTTATAATCTCTCTGAATTAAATCCTTGCATTTTAAGCCACACTAGCATCGCATTTTGCTGCTACCACCTTCTGGGCTCCATCCACATGCACGTGCGTGCGTTCAGGACTGTGCTAAAAGCAACTACCAGAGCATAAGAACCTTTCCTGAAATTGCAATGGCACAACAACCTGGTAGCAGCGGTAAGGGTGTATTTATATACATCTTACAAATCACATCTGCTTATAGCT